TTTTAATAGTTATTCAGTAATAATTGACTGGTGGTCTAAGCTGTTTGTGTGCTTCTAAACAAAACAGCAAAGACAGATACTTTCCTTTTTGCTCAGTCTGGCTTTAATATGCCTCAGCTGTTCTGAAGGCTGAGCATCTCTATCAAGTCAGTTTGAATATGTTAAATTTATTTTCTTGGGAGTTTTGGATTTTTTTAGCGGGACATAGACCCACAAAAGCTTTTAGAAAAAAATAATGGAAGGGGACACTGAAAGCTGTAGCTAAGCTGGCATTCAGAAAAGTTGCTTTTTGAATGGAATTACCTGAGATGGCTGCAGCTGCAGGAGGGCAGGTGCTGTTCCTCCCCTCCTTCCCTGTAACTGGAGAGGAAAATAAAGCCCAAGAAAGACAAGTGATGCAAACAAAAACAATTGCTCGCCACCACCAAACTGATGCTCAGCCGGTCCCCGAGCTGTGGTCTCCCCCACGAACCTCCCCCCAAGTTTTTTTGCTGAGCTTGGTGCCATATGGTCTGGATTATCTCTCTGTTCATTTGGGGTCAGCTGTCCTGGCTGTGTCCCCTTCCAGCCTCTCGTGCACCTCCAACCTATGTGTTGGCAGTGTGGTGTGAGGAGCAGAAAAAGCTGTGACTGTGTAAGCACTGCACAGCAGTAACTAAAATATCACTGTGTTACCAACGCTGTTTTCAGCACTAATGCAAAACATAGCCCCGTACCAGCTATTATGAAGAAATTTACCTATCCCAGCCAAAACCAGTAGAAGACTTCACCTTCGTTCTCTTGTAGCCTGAAGGTAGCTAGAAATACAAAAAGACTTGCAAAGAAAAGCGAGTTTTGTTCCTGTTACAGTAATGGTAAATTATATTAATCAATGACAGGTATTGGCTTTTACCTTTTTCACATAGCTGAGCGAAATTATTTTGTGAATGCTCCCCTTTGCTTTTGCAAGAGAGCCTTTTCTTGACGTTCTTTATTCTTTCATTGTGGCTACAAAGATTTGGTGAACAGCTCTTGAACAAACGCTTTTGGAAATCTTGGGGTAAAATAGTTCCTTTTCGTGAACTCACATCAATGTGGGTGATTCAATCTGGATAAATCATGCAGAAGGATTAATTTACATCTTGTGTGTGTGAAATAACAATAGCTCTTGGAACTGAGTGCACGTTTTTCCCACTCTGAGTTTAGGTGGTTCACAAGCTGACCCAGATGATTGGGAAGAATGTGAAGCTCTACGATATGGTGTTGCAGTTTCTGAGAACCTTGTTCCTTCGGACGAGGAATGTTCATTACTGCACGCTACGGGCAGAGCTCCTGATGTCGCTGCATGACCTGGAAGTCAATGACATCTGCAATGTTGACCCCTGTCATAAGGTATTAATCACGTGGGACAGATAGGAGTATTACTGGAGCATTTTCTGTTTCACCCACCCCTGTGCGTACCTGCCGCCCTGCAGGACTTCAGCCCAGAGAAGATGACTCCCCTCTGTGAAGAGGGTTCAGACCTTGAATCCAAAAGTCATCTTATATTCCTTGGAACTTCAGGTGAAAATTTCATCTTGGTTAACCAGCAGCTTGCTTTCATTTCATACCTATAAATCATTCAAATTTATGGTACTTGTGCAGCATTAAAAACAATGTCTAATCTGACCTCTGGAGATGCTGCAAAAAATAATAAGAAACATTAGCTAGCCCCAGGTTCTTAATCAAAGCTTGCTTCCCTCCCTGGTGCGTTATGGTCCATCTGTCAGTAAACTGCGTGTGTAACGTTAAATACTTTGGGTCTTGAGTTATAAGAAAACGTTAAAGTATTACAATACTGAGGGGTGGCAGATGTGGTGTTAACATCACATCAGGATCTTGTTAATGGTCCTTTGTCCATGGTTGGCATCACTGATGTAGAACAAGGCTTTTTCTCTGAGTAAGATTGCTACGTTTTATGTGTATTCTGCTTATAGAGGTTATGTCCTAGAGTGATGTTACTGCATGCTTTTAATGTCTTCTGATCAAGAGTCCCAGAATCAGTGTGCAGACCATGGCTGAACAGAAAAGGGAAATTCTTGTTCAAGTTACAGATCGTTTTTCAGCGACCTCATTTTCAGTAACCTCATTTGCCACTGCAAATGATGAAAGCCACGATGAAAGCATTTCAGAAAATTCTTTGAGTTTTTCTTTTGTGACAGCTCAAATACTGGGGGAAAACATATATATTGTTTTCTGAAAGGGGAAAAGAGCTCTTAATTGTAGGCCAGACAAAATATTTCACTTAACTGTCTTTTGATAATACAACTGTAAAGCAGAAGGACCTCCACTGTTAACATCCCCTACTGAGAGGGTGGGAGTGGTATTGCAATGGCTAAAATATCCCGTATTATTATTGCCAAGTGATGCTGCTTCTGTGTGACCCTCTTTCATGTGTAAATCAGCATTGATCGGGTGTGCTGGGCAGAGGTGTATTTTATATGTGCCTGCTCCTTAATTGCCAGGGATGCCTCTCTTGGGAAGGGACAAAGTGACACCAAGTCAATGTACGTTGGTATCTCTGACCTCCTTTTGGGATGTTTGTATTTCTGACTAGCTTGCTATATTAATAAAATGTATTCCAGATATTTGGAGGTCATTCTGAGGCTGTTTTCTCTGACGTTGTATATGTTATTGCTGGTGTAACGACTTGCTGTGGTTCATAAAGCCTTCTCCTTTTTTTGTAACAGTTCACCTGGTGCCTTGATGCTTGCATTCGGGAGAAGTTTGTGGACAACAAGAGAGCTCGAGAATTGCAAGGGTTTCTGGATGGAGTGAAGAAAGGACAAGAACAAGTGTTGGGGTAAGGCACTTGTATTGGGAAACTGCGAATGGGTTCCTTGCAGTCTGACAGGTATTGTAGGTGTTAATTCTTTGTTAGAGCCAGCTGACAGCCAGTTTTCCTCTTTGCGGTCACATCCGGTACATCCATGAGCATTAATGCACTAGGGCATAGCCAGGCGTGTTCTGGTGATGTAGCTCATGCTGCTTAAGTGACCACTCTTGCATCTCCCCTGTGACCTGATAACTGGCTGTGGGAGATCTGCTCGATTTCAGTGCAGAAGACCTTCAGTAATTGTTTTCAGATAACGTGCTCCTTCAAGGCAAAGAAATAACATTTGTGATATTTTTACAAGGCAGGAGAAGGTTCATTGGGTGAACGCCTGTAGGTTTCAAAAGATGGCAATTCAGGTTTTACACTGTCACAATAAGGGCATTGTTACAGTACTTGCCCTGTGCCTACCTCTCCTCTTAAACATAGCAGTGTGTGTATGTATATAAAAACATGGTGTACACATGCACGCACTGCTTTGATGTTACATCTGATAGTTGACAGGATTACAACAAAGAAAAGGCTCAAGCATCTTCCTCTAGTGAAACACACTGGAGTCCTACAGCTGGATATGGAACTGTACGGTTGGGTTGGTTGGTATGTATGACACGTATTTGATTTTAATGTCTTCACAGGGACTTATCAATGATCTTGTGTGATCCCTTTGCCATTAACACCTTAGCCTTGAGTACCATCAGGCACCTGCAAGACCTGGTTGCACAGGACACCTTACCCAGGGTGAGTGTAGCAGCTTGTGTACCTAGTCTGAATTGAATAGTGTTCATCAACGAAGGAGAGGCACTGTAGAAGAAATACAATTAAATTCTCAAATGCATGTGTACAATGAAAGAAGGGAAGTGTGATCCTACCTATCTGTCTGTAGCACATACCTTAGAGCTCTGCAGGAGCACTGTTTGGAGATGGGCATTTTGAAGCTCTCTGAATTGACGAATTCTTTGCATGGCTCAATCTGTCCTAACAGCTATGCATATCTAGAACCATATATAGGATATGTGCCTCCCTGCTGTGTCCTTCCATTGATTTATCTAACAGCAGCAGCAGCCTTTCTTCCCTGCCATGTTAAATGTTACACTGTTCTGGTCTGTGATATAATGGAATTCTTGTAAGTAGTGTCTGCTGGAGGTGCTTTAATGATTAAGGAGAGCAGCCTTAACAGTGTCTGAACAGTGTGAGGCATTTGCTGGTTTTATCCCTCAGTTGTTAAATTTTAAAGTTTGATTGAGTAACTTCCTCATGACAGTTTAAGACTGAAAATCAGTTTGGTTTCAGGGCACAATATAAACAAAAAAACCATTGTTATTCTTACACACGCTTTCTCTTTCTTGCTTCTGCTCAGATGCCTTGATTTGTCCTGTCACTCAGTAGATGTCAGTGTACTCATTTGGCTGGGCACATTTAAAAACGATGTCATGATCAGATTGGCTGCATACCTCTTGACGCATTATAAAAATATTACAATAAACCACACACCCACAGGTGTGTCTGTTACTTGATTCCCATTTGAGGAATCAGTTGTCAATCGAGTTGGAGAACTGAAGGCCTCTAGCAGTCTTTGATAAAGCTGCTAATTCAGGAGAGCTTTAAATGTAAATGACTACTTCCAAATAAATATCTACCTGTGCAACTTGTGGAAGATCAAAATAGCTGTTTTTTCTCTTCTTAAAATTCGAGGAAAGCCCGGATCTGCTGCTGCTCCTTAGGATGCTGTCTTTGGGACAAGGTGCCTGGGACATGATTGACAGTCAAGTCTTCAAGGAACCAAAAATGGTGAGCCATTTTGATGTTTAGAATTTAACACATTTAATTTTATCTCATTTAATATTTTATTGCATCCCTGATTTAACATTCATTCTGCATACTTCTCATCGTTGCTTTCTTAGAAATACCATGTAAGTGTTCACAGAGCAGCAGCATGGACATGTAAGCTTTGTTTACCTGGGTTTTTCTTACTTATGTGAATGCCTGGCCCTTACTGTTTTAAAATCAGACTGTCCCTCTGTTAAATTCTGCACTGGTTGTTCTTTGTTCCTGGGAGCTTTTACACAACTGATGAGTTTGTTAAAGAGATCTTGTCTCAGGAAAATAGGATTTCAGAGGCTGACCTGAAACTCTGGTCGTGGTGTAGCAGCTTTTCATTGTCATGAAAAATGATTTTCCCTTCCAACTGTCTGTTGTAGCAATTTTGTGTAGTGCCACGTTCTGCTGTGATCCTTCCATGCTTTGGAAATGCTTTGTCTGGTATTACCAGCAGCCCTGGCCTAGTCTGGGAGCAGACACATTCAGCTGATGGCAGGAAGGCTAGGTGTTACCTTGTGAAGCCAGGGTGTTGCACAGCGAGACTGCTTCTCTCTTCTTTGCTGTTTCTGTTCTGAACTATGAAGCAGCAAATGTCCACCTAGGGGGACATTTGATATCTCAAAAATACGTATCACTGACTGATTGCATGTTTAAATTTACCACAGGAAGGGTGTGCATTAGTACTCAGATTGTAACAGTGAGGGTGACCGAAACTCCCAAGAGTAGCACTGGGATTTGACTTGCACAGGTGCTCTCATGAACCTCTTGGGAAGAAAGTGAACATTTTTCCTAAAGGGAATCTCCAAATCTGTATTTAAAATCTGTTTTATTTGTGATTGCCACGAGCTGTAACCTCCCACTCAGTGAATCTGATACAACGTAGGTTGATCCACCTTGTGCGAGGAGATGCTCTGTGTTGTTGCTATTTTAGCTGTGTTGACCTCTGTAAGTTTAGAGAAAGAACAAAATAATTTATCATTCTTAAAAAAAGCAGATTGGTACCATCCTTAACATGCAGTACTTGCAGAAGTATTGGAAAAGACCTCTCACAAGAAATGCTATGTAGTTGTCAAAAAGAATTTGAGCAGGAGTATTTCTGTAGATGAGGTGAAGTACGCTTCTAATTACCAGTGGAACATGTGGAGGTGAATTAGTCAAGAGTTGTGACTGGAACTGGATGGCTGAAAGCTTCTTTTCCTCACTGTAGGATGGGGCTCGTAATATTGCCTCACCCTTTGTTACGGCACTCTAGGACCATTAGGTGGCATGAAGTGATTGATGAAAACATTGTTCTTCTCCCTCTGTTCTTCCCGTTCCTCTAAGGAAGCTGAGTTGATCACCAAGTTCTTGCCTATGCTGATGTCCTTTGTGGTGGATGACCACACGTTCAATGTAGATCAGAAACTGCCCTCGGAGGAGAAGGGACCGATTCCGTACCCCAGCACCATTCCTGAAGCTTTCACCAAGTACGTAATCTGCCTTACTGACTTTGTACACGTAGTCTTGTTACTAAAGCAAAACATCAAGGAGCCAGCCAAGACTGACTGGAAAAAATACTGTATGTGGTAAAGTGAAGACTTTCTTGGGGTGAGATTTAGCCCCAGTGAACCAGACCTGAACTTTTAATTTAGCAGAATGGGCTTGCATCATGATTCCCCAAATAAAGTTTATCTACATAAAATAATACTGTTAATGATTATTCTTTTGGCAGATTGACTATCAAAGTATTTGATATTACTGCTTTCAAATATGCTGCTTGTGTAGCTTCCCAAGCAGTGAATGGTGAGTGTTTGAGTCATATTTGGGTGCAGCTGGATGAGTGGCTGTGCTTGGTTCTGAGGAGTGCTATTGTAAATTGTAAAGTTGGCAATTTTGTCACACAGACATTCATTCTGTGTTGATCACCTGTCACTCCAGGGACATAAAAAAGATAAATAAAACCACTGTGCACTCTGTTGTATTCAGATTTTGCACTAATTTCCATCACAGTTCTTATCTGTACGCCAGGCTCTGGAATGCTGTATCCCTATAGTTGTACTCTCCGTGACAGTGTTAATGTTTGACCTTTGGGAAACTAAAACAAAACAGTGTTGGACTTTGTATCATTTTAGAGTATTTGGGCTTCTTCTCAAACCAAATTTGATCAGTGCTTTTGTCATTCTTACTGTTATAAATCAAATACAGCTGTTTGATTGTGTGACAGCGCACTGTTTGCTAAGCAGTAAATTTTTCTGGACCATGGTAGCGAACGTACTGATGCCTATCTACTCAGTTGCTGAGTAGCTGCTCTTCAGAGGGTGTGAGGTTAGCCACTGCTGTAACTGCTTGATTGCTGTCCAACAGTATTCTGACTAACAAAAAAACAACCAACCTGTTTAGCTTTATTGATTAAGAAACTTTGCTTCTGCCATAACAGGTTCTTGCAGGAGAACAAAATAGCTTGTGAGATTGGGCTGTATTACATCCTTCACATCACTAAACAGAGGAACAAGAATGCTTTCCTTAGGCTCCTGCCAGCACTAGGTAAGTTTCTGTCTCATATTCTCTTCTATAGCTCTTTGCCTTGTACTGGACACTCAGGAGGCAAGTAAATCTGGAGTGAAAGTGATTTCAGAGTCAAAGATGTAATGTTCTGCCTTTGGCTCTTCTGGTGACTTAATTGTAAGGCCCTGCAGAAGTGTTTGGTTTTGTCTGCAATTCAGATAGTTTTCTGCTCATCCAAGAACTTACAGGTGGTGGCTGAAGGCCAGTAGTTCCCCGTATTAACAGTGAGGTTAGTTGAGAGCTGTTCGGATTTAATCTGAAAGATAAAAGAGCAGGTGGCTTAATTCTGCTGCTGCTTATAGTAATTGCAGGTGGCCAGAAATTCTTGAGACTTGGCTTTGTGTAATGAAAAAAACCTGAAACAAAGCAGGACTGCACACAGCCTTAAATTCTTCCCTGAGTTACCTTCTTTGCTGACATCTCTGGGGTAAGTTACATGGGAGCTCTGAAGCAACCTTAGGAATTGCAGCTCCTGGTAATGTTGACAAGGGTTCACTTCCCACTCCCTCACCCCAGCTCTGGTGTCCTTTGAACCCTTTGCTGAACTGTCGGCTCACTGACATGGGTGAATTTTCCACTGGTGATTTGTATCTGCTCACAACAACAGGGTCTGAGGAGTGCAAGGAGGTGGATGTGGCCGTGATGATGGAGAAGGACAGTAGAGGACTCTCTGATTTTGGCAGGAGTAAGCTACTCTGACTTCACCCTTGGTGGAGACAGGGGCTTTCTACATACTCTTCTGCTCCTAATCTTTTATGTTTGGAAGATCAAAGCCACCTGCCTGGGCTACTTCTTTTAAAAGGAGATCTCACTGTCAAGTTTTCAGCAGG